ATCTTTAAAACAAACACAAAACATTAGGATATGGTCCTTTGCTTGTGCTAAAGAGAAACAAAGATGTGCTGAACCATGAGTTGCACTGCAGCACAACTCTGACAGTACCAGTCTTTTCAAGAAGCAAGTAAATGGAGTGGGAACTTGAACTACTGGAAACAAGCTGCAGAGCAGTCACATCCCCAGTTGCTTTGAGTTTCAAGTATAGCCACTCTGATGACAGGAGTGGAACAGGCCAGAGGAAATATTAAAAGCACACTTTCCTCCTAGCCAAGGATAAATGAACAGCTTTGGCATGACACAGCAATTACCTTCCAAAAGGCCTCTGCAGCAGGTGATCCAGAATGAACTGGCAGCACCAGAGGTCACATTACCTACTCTGATCTAACTTCATACCATACAGAATGCCACACAGGCCCCACATGGAAAATATCACCACCAGCAGGAGTGATACTTACTGTTGACAAAGATCCAGTGTCTAGCAGCTTTAATAGGTTTAATTTGTTTACACTACGGATTCCTCTCCAGTGGGTACAGCATACAACTGTAGCACGTGAAGGAGAAGAGCAAAGCAGTTTTTATCTATAAAACTGACAACAAACCAAGAAAAGCAGAACTTTCTCAGAAAGTTAAGGACATTTCTCCAAACACAGCAGCAACTCCCATTTGAAATTCCTCTTTGTCTTTTATTTCACACATAGCTGCTCTATCATCCTTCAGTTTCCCTCTCCACCAGATCCCCCAGCTGTAATGTCAGAGCACCCGTGGGCAGCCAGCCAGCACTCCAGCATCATCTTCATCCCGCTCTGCTCCTGCCTTGAGGAAATTCTTTCCCTGAAGCTCTAGCCCCTTGAGGGCACATATGTTTTGTAATCTTGAGTTCTTAAGCTCTGCCAGTCTCATTTGTCAGTGCTGTTGCATATAGAAAAGACTCAAAAGCTTGATGTTGTAAAGGCATATCCATGCATTAAGACATTTATCTGACAATTAAAAAAAATGAACACATGCATACATTTCTACCAGAGTCCTCTCTCTCTCAAGGCCATACTATTCTCAACCATTCTAATCAGCTTGTATAGCTAAAATTAAAACACTACCTTCTTCCAGGACTTACGCTACTTAATCACCAATCCACTAATTGGCTTTTTAAACCAGCAGGAACTTTTCACAACTCCACTTGAGGAAACATTCACCTTACTGCTTTCCTGAACTCTCCTGACTCTCTCCCTCTTCTGAGGATCTTCTTCCTCATTCACCTTCAGCCTATACTGTCACCTTCCTACAAATCTCAATCTGTTTGTAGTCCTATTCCTATGCTCAGAGCCTTTTTCCAGAAATAACTAGAATATTTTGAAGGAAAGCACTACCTAAAGCAGCAAAACTTAACTTACTATCTCAACAGCTGATATTTCCCAGACTACACTGTCATCTGAACAGCAACACTGGTAAGATCACAAAACAGTTTTATTATTTCTAATGGTGTATCAGACATAAAACTTCCTATGCCAGTCCTTTTCTCAGGACATGGAAAGCATTCCTCCAAGTTGTATAAGCAGCAGCAGCTTCTGGCTTTCTAGTTACAACTCTGTGTACATATCAGGCCTACTGTGTTCCTTCTTTGACCTTGGGCTGAGAATTCAAGAAATCCTCCATCAGATGTATACTTCTCTCTAGACAGTATTTTTCGAATCAGACATTGTTCTCCTTTAACTGGGTAAGAACAAAAACACATTTCAGAAAGAAGCAGCAGCATGTCTTTCTGCTCTTCAAGAGGAGAAAGATATTCCCCTCTGAATTACACTGACTGGCTAGACAGTGAACACTGAACACACAGGATTTAAAAACGTTATCATCAGGCCAAGGCAGACAAGCATCCTCACAGCCTCTTCAGCACAGGAACTCCCAAAGCTCTGTTCTTCCTTCCATCATAAGAAGATCCACACTACACTGGGCCAGAATGCTCATTTTATTCTTCAGTAGCTTAAGGCACAAACCCCTCTAGCCCAATCTACCTGGCACATCACACAACTCATCTAAACAGCCCTATATCTAAGGTAATCTTTCAAATCCCTTGGAAGATTTCTCATCTGGAAGCCATTTGCCAGTTCAACAAAACACTCTGCAAAAGCAGAGACTCACCTCAGGGAAATTCCTACTTGCAGAGGAAGAAAAACGCTCTCCACAGACTTTCTTCTTGAAAAGGAAAATGCTTTTTTAGATGCAGATCAACACACACAGATAAGCATGTACAAATTCTTGAGACAAAGTCACAGTCCAGTCACCAGGTTCCAATTGCTTTAATGACAGTACAAACACATTCAAGCTTGTTCAAGTAAGTGTCTTTCAGCATCCTATCCTCATTCTTGACTCTCAGCAGCTTGTTACCAGTAGTTTTTTAGTAGTCCTCAACAAGGCACAGATTGCTTGGTTTAACACAGGGCCTGGGCAGATTCAGCTACAAAAGCTGAATACTGCCTATAGCTACTCACGTTGCCCTAGTACTAGGGGATTAAGTGCACTGTTAGTAAGTCTGCAGATGACACCAACCTGCCTGGAGGTAGGAAGGTCCTGCAGATGGGTCTGGACAGGCTGCATCACTTGACTGAGGTCAATGGGGTGAAGTTCAACAAGACCACATGTCAAGTCCTGCTCTTTGGCCGTAACTCCAGGCAACACTACAGGTTTGGGGCAGAGTGGCTGGAAGACTGTGTGGAAGAAACGGACCACGGGGTGTTGGTCAATACTTAGCTAAACATGAGCCAGCAGTGTGCCCAGGTGACAAAAGGGGCCAATGGCATCCCAGCTTGTACAATAAATAGTGTTGCCAGCAGGAGCAGGGAGGTGATCATCCCTCTGTACTCTGCACTGGTGAAGTCACACCTTAAATGCTGTGTTCTGTTCTTGTCTCACTACAAGAAAGACATTGAGACCCTGGAGTGTGTCCAGAGAAAGGCAATGAAGCTGATGTAGGGTCTGGAGCACAAGTCTTAGGAGGAGCAGCTGAGTGAACTGGGATTGTTCAGTCTGGAGAACAGGCTTAGGTGACACGTCATTGCTCTCCCCAACAGTCTGAAAGGAAGTTGTGGTGAGGTGAGTGTTGGCTTCTTTTCCCACATAACAACAATAGAACAAGAGGGAATGCTCTCAAGTTGTGTCAGGGAAGATTCAGGTTGGATGTCAGGAAAAATTTCTTCTCAGACTGATCAGGTGCTGGCACAAGCTGCCCAGGGAGGTGGCTGAGTCACCATCCCTGGAGACATTCAAGAAACATTTAGATGCTGTACTAAGGGACATGGTTTAGTGGCAAATACTGGCAGTAGGTGGATGGTTGGACTGGATAACCTTGGAGGTCTTTCCAACCTTGGCGATTCTATGATTCTACATGTCCTCATCGCCCACGTTAAGTATGCCATGGACATCACAGATTTACATACTGCACACCAGCTATTTCAGCAGTAACTGCAGTAACAGCCCAGACTGAAGTTTGCTACAGTTTCAGAGCAAATTTACTTTTGTTCTGTCATTCCTGCAGCAGGGTCAGTAATAGGTGGCAATAAAAACAGGAGGTGGCAACTGCTTGTGCTGCTACAGTAATAAATATAATGGCCTGGAGAAGCAAGGACAAGTTGTACAGATGAAAGGGAGATAGTCCAACAAGTAGGGAAAAGCATTCAACATATCTGGGGAAAAAAAAAAAATGCTTTCACTACCACTGTAAATAGGCGCAGAAATAATAAAGGAAACGTCAAATGGCACAAAGTAATCACAAGCAAACTTTTCTGTCCTGCCATTAGGCGATTTCCTAGAAACAAACTCAAACTCTTCCCAAAAGATAGGCTCAAATACAGAAAGAAGGAAGACTGACAGGAGGCAGCTGCATTAGAAGACAGACCATCTGTATCTTCAGTGTAGCAGGCACCAGACATCAGGGGACTCCAACATCTGGACTAAAGTTGCAAGTACTTTCTTTTGAAGAATGAAGCTCCCCTCCAGCTTTCTTTCTACAACAAAGCTCCTATCAGTTTCTACCTTTTTCACAGTAGCCCAAGAAGCTGAATTAGCTGGACCAGGCAGTTCTTGAGCTATTTCCTAAATTAGCTTGTTTTCCTGCTAGAAACCATGGCCAAGAACTGATGGCACATTCACACTAGGCTTGTCTTATATCAGTCTTGCCAAGAGTAAAATTCAGACCGATTAAAAATTCAGGATTCACAGAGGATTCCATCTGCTCTCCTCCTCTCTCCATCTGAAGATCAAAATTTGGTAGGCGGTACGGTTATCCTCCCTCACCTTCAAATACTTAATTATGAATCCATTCCCACCAGACTTTGTTCCTGTCTTCCCTTTTCTTGAAGAAAATTGAAAGATTCAAACTAGGATGATCACATTTTGGACTTAACAAATATCTACACTTTTTTTTTTATATATATTTAGAACTAATCAAGACAGCCAAGTATGCTTCCCACTTCCTCCTAAAATTACATACCTCTGTAACACATACAGGAAAAGCTTCAGACTTTTTCTGAGCACAGGAAATGAAAAGCTGAGTATTCAATACAATATACCCAGAATCACATTCTGTGATGAGATATTCGCTTTTCTTGATTAAAGGAAATAAAAGGGTTTTTCACCTCAGCTTGCCCTTCCCATCCTTCCAATCCTCTCCAGCACCCTGTCAAAACTCCCACAACCAGCATAACTTTCTCTTTTTGTTTTAGTGAATATTCACTCTACATGGTTTTGAGTCATTTAAAATGAAATACTATAAAGACACATTGAGGTGCCTTCAAGCACAGTGGAACATATGAAGTTGATCTCCCTCCCTCAAACCAAAGGCAACCATCTCTCTCAAATATAAGGGATAAAAGCAGAAACAGGGCAGAGATGCATCACAGCATAAAAGTAAAAATGTGAATCTTAGCTTGTATAACCACTTATGTTAATCAGTAAAACATCTCACTCATTTCTCATAGCACAGCAGGGAATAAGAGTTTACTTACATGCAAGTCCTTTGGATTTGCTGAGCCAACCTAAAAGACAAAAAAAATTAAGTTTATTATTATGCTTGCTTTAATTCATTCTTTAACCATTCAAGCTGTTTAAAATTCAACAATCTGTGTGACCACCTGAGATTCCTGTTACTGCCTTCAAGTCAGCTGCTTAAAAAGCACTGCCCAGAAATCAGTTTAAGAGTGTAAGAACAGAGTGTTCCTTAACTAGACTGGTTCTGGGCCCATCTGCATCTACCTCCTGGCAGCCTCACCACTGCTCTACAGTTTCTCACCATACTCTTCTGTGCCACTCTGCTTTCATGAAGCTCTCCAAAGGGAATGGAAGAAGAACTCACACTGAAAATTGCATCCTTTCCTCACTATGGGCTGACAATAATTTATTCAAACCTGCATTATAGTAAGCATACAGACTAAAACTCAGGTCCTATGTTCATGCACAACACCACCCCACATTTCTATCTAGCTATCCAGTACTACTGTCCTTGTTTTCATGACCACTGAATTCATCCCCAGCAGTATTAAACTTCTTCCTTTCAACCACATAATTAGAAACAAAGGAAAACTCTGCTTCATACAGATTCCCAAGGAATAGGAACAAGTCTGAATCTGCTCAATGGCTGGAGTATGCCTTAACAAGCTGTTCTTTGCAACACAAACAAACACCAGTGGTATCCAAGAGCTTCTGTGCAGAATAACCTTGGCACTGAAAAGACCTTAGAGCAGCATGCAGCAGATTGGCTGCATTTGCATCAGAGACAATACACAGAAATGAAGTCGTTTCAGTTTATTCAAGCCCAATTTATCATTTTAATGGCAATCCTAAAAATTAAAGGGATAGATAGCTTCATAGCATTTAACACGTGATCAGTCAAAATCAGGCTGCTTTTAAAACTAAGTGGACTTACATTTGCCAAGTCTAAATATTAACCTTTAAAAATTAATAATGCAAACTCTCTCCCTTATGTGTACCGATATTAGTTTAATTCAGGGTGTTAATACTTATACTAACACTTTCACTTGCATTTCTCAAGATAGGTGATGCTCTTATCAGTAATGAAAAGCCCAACCTACATTCTGACAGAGCTGGCTAGGAAGCTAAGAGAAGTTACACCACTGAGAACACAGATGATAGGAAGCTTTCAGAATATTTTAAAGACTAAAAATTTAAAATTTTATGAGTAATTTATTCTGATCCGCTGTGATCCTTTCAGAAACAGTCTGGTCAAACAGGAGGGCTGCTACGAATGTGATTACACACAAGGCCTTTGAGAGCTGGGGAATAACCTGTAAGGGCCAGAGAGAGGAAGTAGGAAGAAAGAATTGGGACAACAAAGAAAGAACAGAGAAGTGTTACATTTTAACAAAGCAGACCAAGCAGTTGTTATTCCTCCTCTCCAATACTTCCAACATTTCCCTGTCTCTACCTACTAAGCACCCAAGCACTTAGCTAAATCCCAGAAGAACCCTCAAAGAAAACAGAAGAGATGGAACAAGAATTAAGCTGCAGCATTTCAGAGCCTTGCTTTCCAAGGCTCTTCTTGGAAGAGAGCCTTTTCGTTCTGCTAATTTTTTCGTTATTTCCCTCAATTAATCTTGGAGAACTTGCTAGAGGAGAAAAAGGCACAACAGTGATCGAGCTGAAAAAGTATTTCTGAAGAGCACTGAAGCCTTCCTAAATCCTCCACTTCTGGCATAGCTTCATTGTTCGCCCATCACCAAATATTGCATTTGTTTTATGTTACAATACGTGCAGTGGTTATTTTTACGGTTGTGACTACCTTGCTGTGAGAAGGAATCAGCTCCCCCAAACTCTGCAGCAGGCTCTGTGACTAAGCAACTTATCACATTCATCTCACAGCACTGTGGGATACTTGGACAGATTGCTTGAGACAAAGTGCTGATGACTTTTGTTAAAAATCCATGCATAAATAAAATCAAATTATTAGCAGAAGAGAGACCAGAAGCTCACTGACTGGAAATCAGTCTGCCCTCTGTATTCATTGCATGTAAAAGTGAACACATTCCTGCTCAGAACACAAATATGTATCTAAGCTCCTGAAAGACAAGTAATAGCATTTCCAAACAGTAAAATCATCGCAATACAATATGCATTATATGGTTTTAAACGTATGAATAACAAGCTCCACTTTGTCACTCAGAGCTGAGCCAGCCCATTGTCTCCATTCTTGTCTGTCTTTTTATGAGAACATTCTTCATCTTTTGTAGCAATTGTGAACGTGTCACATTGGCCCTGTATTCAAGATAAGCATTACCACCAGGAGATTTAATGCAATCTCTTGCTTCGTGTTAACATCCCTTTGTTCTGGCTGCTTTGAGTGTTTTTGCTATGTAAACTAATAAAGTGAGGACAGGGGGGTGGCTGGGGACAAAGATGAGGGAAAGATGATTTTCCAAGCGTCTCTTCAGTGCTCTTTGTCTCTCCATCTGAGTCCCTGCTCCTCGGCTGGCTGACTGATTAACGTTACTCATGGCCAGTGCACTGCTGCAGGTGCAGCTCCCTGGGCCCACAACAAGCTGCCATGCACCCCCATCCCTGCCAGTCTCAGAGTCTATGGATGGAAGCCCATTCTACCCTCTCCCCCCCCAAGGATCTTCCCCTTTGTGCCTTGCCCTCTGCTATGATCCTGGGTTTCCCTTCACACGCTCTCACTTTCTCACTTCTGCTGAAGGAAATGCTTCATGTCTTGCCACTCTAATCCTATTTAGCTGATGATCTGCCTTGATCAGTTTACCACAACGGGTTTCAGGTCCTGAATCAAAATGAACAGAGAAAGGGAAATGATGCAGAACCATTCTAGGGTCTTATGACATGCTTAACCAGTGCTTTTTCCATATGACATGAGATATCTCAAAAATGATACTGAAAATGCTTGCCAGATTGTGGTTGCCTTCCCCATTTAGCAGCCCTATGCAGTGCAAGGAATTTGCATACTAATTTACAGAGCAACTACCAAGTGTTGCAGTATGTAACTGGAGTGTCAGGAAGGGATTGTGTTCCAGACTCAGGCTGTAGGGAAGATCCTGCAGACGTATATCTGAAGCAAGGCTGGGATATTATCAACAACATCTGGAAAAAACAAGGACGACAGACCTTTGTCCCTTTCACATTCTGATTATTCCTTCTTGCCAGTCAGTCACATTTGCAATTCCCCCACACATCCCTTTTTACCTACAAAGCCAAAGCCAGGCCAGCCAGGAAGACACAAATGTCTGGGATCTCTCATTTCAGCAGCCTCTCCCTTCTAACTAGAGGAGACAGAAATATTAAAAGATCAATTCCTCCTCTAAACTTTTCTATAGAGGATACTCTCCTTTGAGTACATCTGGCAATGAGCTTTTATTCTGCTCTACCACAGAGGCCAAACCAATCTTCTCTGATGCTCAGAAATATTGGTCACCAGACATTTTCAGGTGCTGTGATATCTCAAATAAATAAGACTTTTTAGAGCTACTGTCAAGAACTGACATTTTGTTTTCAAAAGCAAGCTATTACCTGCAGGCATGGAAGTCAAATCCATATGACTTTTTGGAATAAGTTCCTCTACCGTTCTGTGCAAAAACTTGCACCTAAGGCACACATACAAACTTCTTTCCTCCACCCCATGCCACTCACGATCAATCATCTCTCTACTGACAGAAAAACTACATCAGATCTGTGAGAAGAGATCACATTTCAGGGTATACTGGGTAAGAAAACAAACATTTCATTATGTACTACCTTGTGACCGATAAGTTTTCTTCTTACCCTTATTTCTGACTGTCACTTGACTTTTTGTGTGTCATTCCATTCCACTGCTATTTACGTTATTTACCATAGTTGGTCACCAGATATCAAGAAGCAAGCATGGGGAATGAGGAAAAACCCAAGATGCAGAAGAGATCTAACAGAGGAGTACACTTTGTGAGTGCTCAAGTGTCAGAAGGTGCCACACAAACAGTGAACAGGCTCATCAGATGCACAAAGAGCAGAAACCAGCCTGTGCTTCCAAAACTAATTCACATGAGCAGTTGCTACAGTGCATATAAATAATAGTGCCTACATGAGAATATAACTCAACCAAAAAACAGCCCATGCTTGCTCTTAAGACAGTCCTGGCATCCCCAGCTGCAGTAAAGAGATGAAATGAAAGCAGAAAAAAAGCTGGGGTAATCAAGAAGTATGCAAGACTGGTTCAGTTCAGATACTGCCCTTTGCTTAACAAACTCTGGTGGAATTTTTCCTGCAAGTACTGAAATATGTATGCAAATGCATCAACCACCTCCAGTTTCCCCACAAATACATAAGGCCATTTCCAAACTTAGACATCTCTCCCCCTCTGCAATACAGGCAAGCAAAGATTTCACTTACCTGTGGCCTGTGCTTCCAAAATAAAGTTACCAAAGATAACTAGCAGAAGAAACAACCCATGGCTAGTCAAGGCAAGAGATGATCCTGTGTTGCTCTTTGGTGCTACCATTCCATGGCACATCTTTTACCCACCAAGGTTTCTTCTAAAAAAAAAAAAAATTCCTGAAAGATCTGGCTGATTAGGAGCACCTCTATCTAGAAAAAAAAACACAAAGACAAAAGAACAGTAAGTACCGAACAAAATATTTACGACATCCAAGGGGATGGGAAGGGAAATTCAGAAACAAACAAGAACAAATTTTCACATTTTCTGGAATTCAGAAAACTTACTAAGAAAGTATTCATGGTATCAAAGCAGGAAAGACAACTTTGTGCACAGGAAATACCAAAAGGAGCTGCATTATATTAGAGATCAGAACTTCTCACTTGACCTCCAATAATTCAGGTGTAAAGACTGTCCAGTTTACAATTAGTTTTAAATCTTTCTTTCAAGACAACCCCAGAGGATACAGTATCTGCAGAATTTGTTTCAGAACAGTTTCAAGGAAGCCAGCCTTCCTACACCCCGCTCACCTTTCAGAAGAGGCAGCAGACTGTACTAGACAGCTAGGATAAATAAATCAAATGCTTCCTCAGACACCTGGAGAGGCACAGCAAATCTGACAGCCAGCCAGCAGGCAGACAAACACACATGAGGAGGAATGTAAAACAGCCTGAAAACCTCAGGTATAATGTGACAGTACATAACACAGCAATTAAAATTGCAGGATGTGACACTGCTCATACCTGAGGACTGACAAATTCAGCCCTTACCCGTCTGACACTTTTGCACTGAAAACATAAGTCACAGCTGGGACATCAAGAAAGCACAGGCTGAACCCCAGCACAAGCTGAATCCCTGTTAGTAGTGAAAAAAGGTTCTAAAGTATACAGTCCTACTGAGCTAGCCAGCAAGACTTCTGACAGTTTGGGATCTGGATGAATTACAATGTCATGCATGACTCCAAAGCCCCTGAAAAAGATTAAAAATCTGTGGAGTGCTCATAACTTAGAAAAAGAAAGGAGAAAACTGGTATAAAGACATCTGGTCAATATTGGGTTAAAAGAAAAAAAACACAGAGATTCACTTTAACACTTCTACTGTGCTGTTCCTTACGCAAACATCTAAAGCTATCAGGGAAAAAAATGTAATTTATTTTACAGAAATCATCTTTTCTTTGCAGTTGACCAAAGGAACGCTTTTAATTTTGAAGGAATCTCCCTCTTAGCCACAGCTTCTTCAGTTAAATGGATATTTCTACTGAAGGGAGATTTTTGGGGGGAGGTCAAGTTTCAAAACTGCTGGATAACTCCAAATAAATCTAAGAGGAGTAGAGGCAGGTGTTGTACCATTTCATATCCTGTGTGATCAGATATGAGACCTGAAGAAGGCAATATAACCTTGAGATCCTTGAGTACTTCTTACAGGGATCCAGCATGCCAGCATTAACCAGAAAAACACAACTCAAACAGCCACAATGCACATTTCCAATTACTTAGGAAAAAAAAAAACCAAAATAGCATGATTGGAAGGAATATGTGAATTTGATTATAAAAGTCTAGTGATGCTAGAGGAGAGAGTTTCCTTACTTCCATGTCACTGATCTGCTCACATCTAACTCACAAAAAGGCCACCTTTAGCATTTGGATCTTTTGTATGAATTAGTCTCTACCAAAGAGAACTTATTTGTCTGTATACATCCCCAGCGTGAAATAGCATTTCAATATGATATTCGAAATGCCCTATGGTAAGTCTGGAGATGATGTTACAATAAACTCTGCCTGCTCCATCAGTTTCCTGCTTAATTTGGAGAGGGAGGAAGAGAAATGAAGTTATCCCACTCTAAACTTGTAGCAAAGTAAATACATTTTTAATATGTTTTACTGATGAAGACCTAACGTTTTGTTCACCACGTTCAGCCCTCCTACCAAGCAGGAAGGATTAAGGATGCTGCCACTTACCTGCTAGACTTCCTCCAGTAGCAATTAGACCACAGCATGAAAAACACTCCTCTGAAGAGAGCCAAGCCAGCTAGTCGGTACATCTGCCCCCTCCACGCAAGTCAAATCTCTCACATGGATTTTAAGTTTCTATTCAACTGGAACATGTCAGCATCTGGCCTGTACTGCAGGCCAACAGTTGGGTGCTTCCTTCTGAGTCACATGGAATTACAGCTCAATGCAGCACACAATTTTCAGTGAACGGATGTTTTATTACAGCAAGAAAGGTCTGCTCTTTCCATTCCAACTTAATGAAGCCTTATTAGCACATGAAACTTCGCAAGGCTTGCCAATTCAAGGGCAGCCTTCCCTGCCCTGGGTCAGGGCTTAATGCATGACATCAGTGGGCAGGAGAAGCAGGGAATACAACACAATTATGACAGAATCCATCCACAGAGATGCCTGAGGTGTGCTGCTCTGTCTCAGAGGCATTTTCAACACCCAAAGATCATACATGGAAGCTAGTACTCTAATTTTTGTCTCTCAACAATAAACAATAGATATCTAAATCGAGAATTTATTCTGGGAAAATCAACTACTGCTAATTCTTGATTCACTAACAGATTGTTTTAAAGCATGCTGCTTTTTCCCCTCTACTAAAAAGCCAGGCGTGTTTTCCCCATCTCCTTTTAGCTCCATATTGCTTGAGTCCCACATTACCAGGAATAGGGCCTGTCAGATGCTAGGCTGCTCCACAAGGAATGTCTAAATTGATGCTGCCATGCCTACAGAAACATCCCACTAAGCTGATTTTGCTCAATGTGAGAACGAGACAAAGACAGCCAAACAATTTTGTTCTAGATAGCATTGATAACCCCCTCTGAATTGTTAAAAGACAATGGGCACAGGTACTGCTTGCAGGAGTCCTCCCTCAGGCTTCAACCAAGTTACAAAACTTGTTCCCAGCTTGACTTTCCCTTGGCAAAATTAGAAGACAAAAGAGATTCTGGCTAGATAAGAAGGTATCCTTTCTGCCCAGAGGGGAGCTGCTGGTTAGGAAACTATTTAGACATTCAACTCTCTGAAAGCTGATTGTTGTTTTTAGCACATTCCTTATACCTACAGCTCATGGGGAAACAGCTTTAATAACAACTTTTCAGTCCTCCACCTCCAGAAGTTAACTGGCAACACTCAAACAACTCACTGAGGGTCTGTAGCGCTGCAGGGGTAACCTTTTCTTCCCAACAGAAGCATCACACATTTATACAGATAAGACTATCTTCAATTACCTGCTTCACACTAGTAAAATATTCCTTCTCTATTCCCCACTTCCCCATCCCACTGCAACTGAACCACAGCCCATAGGAATTCTTACAATCTGGTCTGACGGCTGCCAATGAAAAATGAATAAATAAACACACCACAAAGAACTGAAGTTTGCTAGACTGACAGCCCTTATCTCAGGGCACAGCTTGGTGTGCTACAGAGAAAACAGAAGCTAACAGGAAGAAAAAAAATGAAGTGTTCTCCCTGTTCTGGTAGCGCCAACACATTGTACAGTGCACACATTTATCAGCAGAAACATACTCTCAGGGAGAGAGCTTAACAATTCATGGGTTCGTGTAAATCAAAGCGGTTCCCCTGTTTATACATAGCAGCAAGGAGCACACTGGCTTCATTGCTGGATCCTAGCAGCAAGGCAGAAGCCTACAGTTGCATGAGGATATGGAAACAGAACGCTTTGAACCCATTTCACGTGCCACAGCCTATGCTAAAGGGTTACAGGAAGATTGAAGTCCAAGCAGATGTTTTCAAAGATAATATTTAGTAAAGTCAGCAGTTCTCTTAAATATAGTAAGAAGGGGAGAGGAGATTCTTAACTGCTTTAAGCCATAGAGGTCATTTTGTTTTCATTTTAAATCTGGAGAATATAAACTGTCCTGCGTGGTCACAAAGTCAACAGCCCACGCCCTCTCCGGGAATGCTCTGAACAAGGAAAGAGCTCCTTGCTTCCTGGTTCCAGCCACCCCTGGCTCCCGCAGGTACCGCAGGCTGAGGCATGCACCAGCAGCCTTCACAGCAACCGTCCAGCCCTGCTCCCAGCACCAGGAGCTGCTGGCCTGATAATAACAGCTTGCTCCTATGTGAATGCCCTGAAGTAGGCACTGCTTTCCCCGACAGCACACACACCGGACTTCCCACTCCCAAACCACGATGAGCCCTTTCCAAGATGACACACTTGCTTTTGGCAGCAACTTTCCTAAGCTAAGCTGTTTAGAGACCTCTGCCATTTTTCCTCTAGACCGTTAGAAGCTGCCAATTCAGACCCTTCAATACAAGATCACATCACAAGTATGCATACATCTTCTAGGATTATGACTAATTTTCTGATTTTTTCCCCATTTCGTCATTGCAGCACTCCTAGATTGCCATGGAAAAGTGATCTTTGGGGGAGGTCATATGCTCAAGATGTGAAAAAGCAGCAGTTTCAGGCAGTTCAGGTGCACAGAGCACAAGGGATCAGAGGACAGTCTGTGGCACTATGGTTGCACGAGGTGCTTGGGGCAAGGCAACAGTCAAGGCTACGTATGTCCTGTGTCACTGCTGCTGGAGAACTGTCTTTAACCTGGATTCTATGCAGTGTGTCTTGAGAAGTGTTAAGTATGTTTGGAATGCTACTGGCTTACTTTTAAATACCATGCTGCAAACTTGTCAAAGGAAAATGAGTTAACCTCATGCACATCAGAAATCTTTCTTTTAACCATTTAGTTTCTGCCTCCTGCCTTACAGAATAATGTTCAGAAATAGCTTACCATGCACACAGCAAAGACTGTGCCACAGAGCAGGAGGACTGTTTTTCCTCACAGCCATACTGCAGGCAGAACTTGACACTGGTTCAGAGGGTTTAACTTTCACCTTCATCTGCTGTTCATGTTTCTATTGCTGTTCCACTACATCTTATCCTTATTTTGCGCACCTTCAGTGAATGGTCAAACTTCAAAAACAAACCAAAAAAACCCCTTAACTCTCATCCTCTTAACTGGCTGATGAGAAAAAACACAGTAAAAGTGACGCTTGCGCACATCCAAGCAGCAGCAGAAAATACAACACCTCAGATCCTTTCTGCCTTACCCTCAGTTGGTTTCCACACAGTTACCTTCTTGAGAACCACATGACACATCTGTGTATTCTGAAGAAATTTTCTGCAGAGGAGG